ACTGTATTCTTTCTTTTTTCTTTTCTTTTTTCTCACACTTTTTATTCTTTTTTTCCATTTTCTTCTCTTTCTCTAAGTTTAGTTTGTATTAGTTTTTATTGGAGGAGGAGGAAGTGTGTTTGCACACTTGACTCATTTCAGCAGGTACAATCAGGGTGGATTTCTGTGACAGGCTATTACCAAAAACACCTGAGCTAGAAACTGGTCCAAACACCTGGATAGCCATGATCTTGCATATTTTTAGAAGTACAATAGAAGATCCCTTGCAATCACGTTATCAGTTTCATCAATAGCTGGGTTATAGCCTTTTCATCCTTCTTCTGTATTTGCTTCAGTGAATGTTTAAAGATGAACATACATTGGAAATGCTTTAGCACAACCTGGTGGGCAATTAATGAAGTGCAATAGAAACCTATATTTATCTTCATGTACCTGAAATTTACCAGAATTGGACCGAGAACCTGGGCTGTACACACTTCCTTTTTTCTACTTAATAAAGGATGAAGCCCACTTGTTGTACATAGTTTACCCAGAAAGATGACTCTACATTTAAGATACCACGCACACACACACCACCAAAAACCACAAAATAGTAGTGAAAGGAACTGCAGTGAGATAGGAAGGACAAAGAAGAACAAAATGGGGGGTGAGGAGATAACTGGACAGTTAAAGTGTTAAAAGAGAGAGAGAAAATTCCTGGTTAGGCAATGCAAAAAGGATACAGTCACCTGGCAGGCACTTCTTCCAAGCAATAGCCAGCAATCTAATCTTCCAGCTAATTTTAAAGATGTTCTCAGGACTGCAGCTATTTGCCTCTACACCAGTGTAGAGTTCCACCTTGGCAACTTCAAGATTTGTGGACTTCAACTTGCTAGCTGGGGAGTTGAAGTCCACACATCTTAAAGTTGCCAAGGTTGAAAAACACTGATCTGCATCCTGCATGTTTTCAACAGTTTTTTTCATGCTTATCATCGCTGTAAGATGACGCCCACACCCAGTCACAAGTAATCTTTTCACAGCCCATGGGTTATGCACACCCATCTGCCACTCCTTAAAGCAGCTGTATTTTTTTTTCTGGGGTCATGCAGCTGTCCTCCACAGCTGCACTCTGATCTGGAGAAAAGTTGCATTTATTTTAATGAGTTGCCAACAGGTGCTGTGTCAGTCTCCCCTGCTCCCCTGCACTGGAAGCAAGGTTTCCCCTCCAGATGTGAAGCACCACGTAGCCCTGTGACGCTGCTAGCCCTCCCCTTTGCCCTTGCTCCGCTGCAAATTGCATGCTTTCTTGTTCCCTATTCCTGTGAGATGCCTCCTGGCTCTGAAACCATCATTCAGAAGCCTCCTTAATTTATAACCATTTAAAAGCTTTAAACATGAATGTTCAACCTTTCTCATTGTCTGACATTTGAATCATGATTTTACTTTTTTTTTTTTTACCAAAAAAAAAAAAAAAACCAATACATTACTTTTATTTTAAAATAGGAATGGTCCAAAAATATAATATCTGAAACTGTTTTTCATACAAAATTTATGAAAAGTGCAACCTTTCCAAAGAAGTAAACTATAAAGAATAAAAAGAGAGAAGCATCTTGTAAATAAAAATTCTATTCAAGCCAGAGAAAGAGTACAAAACAGAACAGCCGTATTAACATGTATAGTCAAAATTTTAGCTGAATAAAGTTTATCCAGCATTTGGCAAAACATTGAGCATTCATAATTTATCAGATTTGTTGTGGATTCAGATGAATTTCTGTACATACAGTGACCCCTTGAGGCCATGTTTAGATATGCAACTCATAAACTTTATCAGAAAGTTGTGCTTTGGCAAAACACTTCTAAATTGCTGTCCAGAAAAGGATATGGAATTGGCTGTCCCTTCACTAGCTAGCCTTACTCAAAGGAGTTTTAACTTTTTAAGGCCCTTTGCTCAGTGACCTAGTTTATACTAACCCAGTTCATACACTTCATAGACCTTTTGAATCTCTCTTTGCTTAGTTAACATTTGCTCAAGTTGTCACAGTTCATCATTACTATGTAAACCTGCAGGACTGCAAGCTGTTCGTTTCATTTTAGTATCCCATGACTGCAGTGAACATTATACTTTGTGTTTGCCACATTTACACTGGAGTTACTTTCTGATCATTAGAGCCAATGGGCCAAGACTAATTAGAGTTTGATCTAGTGGTTAAGCTAGAAAGCAGGAGACGGTGAGTTCTAGTCCCGCCTTAGGCATGAAAGCCGGCTGGGTGACTTTGGGCCAATTACTGTTTTTCAGCCCAACTCCCCTCACAGGGTTGTCATTGCAGGGAAAATAGGAGGAGGAAGGAGTATTAGGTATGTTCACCGCCTTGAGTTATTTCTAAAAAATAATAAAGGTGGGATAAAAAAATCTTTTTTAAAAAACCATGTAATCTCTATGGGTTTCAACCAAAGATGAAGAGTTGCTGTCCCCACTCTGAAATGTTTATCAGTAACTCTCATGCAATATCAGAAATTCATTTTAAAATTCAAATCAATTTAGAAATATGACACAGTAACTCTCATCTGCAAAGAATACTGGGGCATCTTCATGGAAGGTAAAAAAAAGTCAAGATGGTGACTACAAGCTTACACTTGAAGCCCCACCCCTTTTTTACATACTCTGGACATTCAGAATCAGTTGCACTTTCTTTTTGGATACCAACCTGAATCTTTTTACAGGCAAACATATATCTAAGCTGTGTATGAACTACTTTCTTTCTTCTTTAAAAGAACAGTACCAGGGAACGGTAGAGCAGTTGTTCCTTTTGGAGCTATGTAAAAGCCCTTTATAAAAATAATGCTGTACTTACAAAAATATTGAACAGTACAAATTATACCTAGTGAGTAAAAATTGCAAATCTACCCACAAACACACATACAAAATTCACAGTGTGCTATAGTTATCCATAAGTTCCACATTCTTCCACATTGTTCCTTAGAGGAAAACAATCCTTTGAGATTTACAAGATGTGTTCTGTAAAGGAATGCCCATTTCTAATATTTTGGTTTCAATTTTCTTCTGCAGGAAGATTCTCTGTAGCATGTACAGAAACTTTGATTAGAATTCTAGGCTATGTCACTTAAAACTGAATTTGCAGGTCCATTGAAAGAACTCTCTGCTTCCCTGGATGCATCCTTGGTTTTAGAATCGTCACACATTTCAGCATCATTTCCATTTTCTTGAGGCATACATTGGACATCAGATTCCAAAGAGTTACCCTCTTCTTCTTTCTTGACTTCATTCTGGTTATTAATGATGCGTTCATGGCATTGGGCCATTTGTAGCTGTCCATTCTGGGCAGGATACAGGCTTGCAATAGTATCATATAGAAACTGATAATCTTCCTAAATGGCATTTAAAAAGAGAGAGTTAGCATACGTGCAAACCCATAGTGTGTACTTTTCTTTCCCCAAGTAGTTTCACTTTGTGATATGATAATGCACCAAAGAATGTGAGAAAGACATGATGTGATGCCTAAACTTAATTAGTTCACACATTTCAGTGTTCATAAAGGTCTGCTAGTCTCACACTTGGTTTTCATGGATACAGGAAACCTTTATGAAGAGTTCTTAAGTAGAAGATCTGAGTAACTGTGGGCAAGGTTTCCTGAACCTTGGGCAAGGTTTCCTTGCCCGCCACTTACCACTCTTCCCTGCTATAGCACAGCAGGACAAGAAAGTGTCCCCTCCCTTAAATATATACAGAATAGAAACAAAATTTACCTAGTAGTTACTTCTTTGGTTCAACAAAGTAAGTGTTTTCTACTTTACTACTGGCAAATATGATCAATATTCAAGAATTAAATGATCCTCCAAAATAAATCAAATGTCAAATAAAATACCAACAAAGCAATCATTTTTTGGACTTTAAACATCTGCTTACTGAACTATAGTGATAATGGAAGTATTTCTACAGAACAGACAGACTTTAAAACAGAAAATAAAATAAATTAACTACTAATATAATTTACTTACAAAGAAGGAAATCATTCCTGGCCTGGCTCTACGAAGAGTTTTCACAACTTGGAAAACATCTATTACACCTTCAGTCTCAGCACATTCCATGAGGTTCAGCAAAGCACAAAATACTCCTGTTTGTTTGGAACCATCACTATAAAAATATATTACGTGAAAACAAAAAATATTAGTCTATAGCAGTAGTAAAATAGAAAGATCAGCAAAGCCCTGATGTATGGTATAATATATATACAACTGGTGTTGGAGGGATGAGAAAGAACTTCTAGATCCTAAATTAACAGGAGGGCTCACTAGAAGGTCTTAAAATGTAGGTGAAAAAACAAATGAACAACTTAATTTGAAACGAGTATTATTACTTTTTTGAAGATAAGCAAAGAAACAAAAAGAACATTCAGATGAATTAACAGTTCAAAGAATAACCAAAGGGGGGGGGGATTAAGTACAGTAATCCATGGTTCTTATATCTGGTTCTATTGGCCAGGTCTTGGAAGTAGCTGCAAGACTCAGTATTGATCCCTTGAATAGTTGTGGAAGTCCTGCTTTTGATGTAGGGCTCTTTCCAAATATAGATTGTTGCTGGCTTACTGGCTGCATCTATGACTTAACAAAAAGCACAGTTGAGCATATATGATGGGTTTGTGCTTTCCTGATTCATTTCAGTTTTCTGAGCCCTGTCCAAATTTCTAATTATTCATAGTTGTGTAAAGATAGGTGAGAAAACAAACTATAGTTTAATCTGTGTGTACGCTGTGTGTACAATGTAACCCTGTTGCTGTGTTGTCTTTATGAATCAGGAAGGAAGGACTGTAGGCATTCCATAAGAGCCTACACTGTACAGGATTACAGATGTTTCATAGATTCAGATAAAAAAGTTTTGAATTCAAAGAGAATGAATACTTATTCCAGAGTTTGGCTCCTCACTAATATGTAGCCATCAAGATCAAGGATGCCATGGGGGAAAAAAGACTCTAGGCTAAAGCAGTATAGAAATCTTCCTTTGGGTGGGATTCAGACAGAATTATAAAATGGATATAAAATGGATAATGCTTATTTGGACAGATAATTTATAGCATTCAAGATTCATGATAATTCCTATCATACATTTTTCAACAGGGGCAGAGCTTTCTCATTTATGGTATAAATTTGTAGCTCTGCCTCTGGATAAAAAACTACAGAACATAACCTATTCCAATATAAAGATGAAAGTATTATACATACAACAGGCAAATTAGCCCACATCAGACCTCAAAACATGCCATACCTCTAAAAGTGATACCTACCCACAGTGAACAACAACTGGAACATTCTGGCTGGGCACATTTGCTTCAGCTGCATCTTCAGCTGAAAACCTCTGTTTGAGATTCTGGATCATGGTGGTTAAGTCCTGGGGGGTTTCTGGGAGAGCGGAGTTTTCCCACTTATGGTACTGATACTGAAACACTTTTCTGATGTCTTTCCTCTGCAACAAATGCAGATAGAACAAAACAATCCATGCAAGTTATAGAGCTGATGACCTTTAATTGTCCACGCGCAAAGAACAAAATGCTTACCTGGAAAGTCCAAGATACTGTAGGACTGACCCATGACTCCTTTTGCTGCTAAAAGCAAAAGACTTTGCCAATGCTTCATCAGAAGTTGATCTAAAAACTTAGGAGCTATCAACTTGTTTACAGAGATTATAAAAGTGTTTAATTGCTTAGCACCATTAATTTAAAATGCTAAATAAAAACATGAGTTAACATTTCTGTAGCTATCTGTGGAATCTGCTGCCTGAGGTAGAGACAGAATTCTCCTGTCCCAATGTATCCATGTAGAGAAAAACACCGACCTGCAACTAGATGTGAATGACACAGACTTTTAAGAGGGACTCAGCACCCACATATGGGACTCTCACCATTCTGTTCTTGAACATCTCACTGTCTAGGTTCTCTCCAAAATATTTGCTGTTTGAGGTGGCAGTTTCCTTCTCCCTAATAACAGGTCAGACCTCACAACTTCATTGTTATTGTTTCTATTTCTCTACCATATTCTTGTGTTAAAACATATTGAAAAGATAAACTTGAACGAGTTAAAATAAAAGAAAATCATTTAAATAGAAAAATAAAATTACTGTAAAAACAATCATTCTTGTAGGGGGTATCTGGATAAAGAGATGGGTCTTCAACAGATGCCCTAAAGACATAACAGTAGATGCTTCTCCAATACTATGGGGAGAGTATTCCAGAGTTCCAAAACTCTGTTGCAAAAAAAAGCTGTATATATCCAGGAATCTTTGCTAGAGACAGGTAGTATGACTGCTCAAAATTGGACATCCTATTTCTTCCATTATGCTGGCTGGAATTCTGACAGTTGAAGTCCAACACAGCTGGAGGACACCAGGTTGAGGAAGGTTGCTATGAATGTTGAATCCTATTTACACTACAGTAAATATGCTTTCTCATATATGCTACTTTAAATCATCTGAACAGCTATAGTTTGTCTCCAGGACATGTAGGATGAAAGGAATAAGTATGTTCTTTATGTATCCCAATGGATTCTGGGTATGGAAAAATCTATAGTACTGTAGCATCTAGCATCTAGTCCTAATAATATGGTTTTGCCAAAGTCTTACTTGCTCATTCACCAATTTAAAATAAACCCAGATTTGCTTAATGATATTAACAACATATAGCAACAAACATGGACACCAAAGGAAGTGGAAAATAAAACTTTGGAAGTGCAACCAAAAGCCAGATATGAATCCAATGAGGATGAATAATTAGACCTTTTACCTTTATATGAGTTAATTCAAAGGCACGAATGGTGTAACTGGGACTAAAATTGCTATCTTTTAGTTCAACTGTGATGTTATCATATGTCATTTTTTCTTCTTTCCAATACTGTGCACAGAGTTCCTAGAATTGAAGAAAGACTAAATCAGTGTTTCCTATCTGGAAGAAGCAGACATGAAAGTATGGACAAAATAAAATTGAGTTGCCTTGAACCAAATTATGCAAGAGTGTGTATTTGGTATTCCATTGAGAAAAAACAGACATTTGCTTTCTGAATAAGGTCACAGTGGATCATAGGGCATCAGCATTAAAGATCTTTTCAGACAGATGAAAATGCATAGCTTAGTCATGCACCCATATTTTACTACTTTTATGAGTAGTCAGATGTGTGCACAGAGGAGACCAGCCTGAGGATGACTAGAAATGAAATGGATGAATTCTTGTGCCACAAATTCTTGGAAATGCTAATGTAAATGTGAAAGGCCAGAGAGCTCCAGGATATTTCATGCTTAATTGTGGATGATATTTAGGGAGAAGTTCGTTTAGTAATCTCAATTAACCTAATTTTTCATTTTCAAACTAACATATGAACTCAATACTAAGATTTTAAAATGTTAACATATTTATGTTACATTTCTATACTGTTTTTCATTTAACAGCTGAAGGTTTCCCACTCCTTAAGCTTACAGTTTTGCAAGGCAGATTGGGTTGAGTGACTAGCCCAAAATCATTGTGTGAGCTCCAAGAACAGGCAGGGCTTTACAAATTTTGCAAAGCAGTTTGCAACTTCAAAAAATTACATATATCCAGAAAAAAAAATCTGTAAACCAAAATACATATCCTCATGAAAATAATTGATAAGAATAAAATCCATCTGTAGATTAAACAAACTTGCAAATACAAATGTGTATGCTTGGAGAAATGTGCACAAATACGGTGCACATCCTTAAGCTTCTATAGAATGGCCCAAGCAGAAAAATGGTAAGGAGAAATGAACAATTAAGAGAAATCAAAACTGACAGATTCAAAAATGTAAAAAATGAAAGGGAAACTACAATGGTTAAATTCACTCATTCCTAATTGTATTGTTACTCTATTGAGATACAAAGCAGATTTAATCCTCAGGTATAGCAGATTTAGGGATGATATCTGCCAGAAAGTCAAAGCAAAGCAAAGCAAAGCAAAGCAAAACAGCAGCGATTTATAGCATTTATCACAAATGACAGTTTCAATACATAAGTATGTTTATATTACATCTGAAAAAACAATATATGCCTTTTTCTAATTATATAACCTTTGATAAATCACTTAAAGGCTACAATCCTATGATTTCAACCTGGGAGTAGGTCCCACTGAGCCTTGATTCAAGCTGTATATTTGGTTTCCTGATGGATATGCTTTCAATCAGGGTATTTTTACAGTGTTAAACTTAGGCATTTTTCTATAACAGAAATGTCACAGAATAACTATACAGAGACAAACTCATTCACCTGAGTGTCTGTCAGCATAACAATAACTTTAACTTTCCTTTGATAGACCATGTTCCAGAAGTCACCTATTGTTTCTGGAAGTGGACCTTGTGTTGCTATAATTCCATTCTGAAGCCAGTAACTCTGTTAAATAAAAAAATAAAAAATGAAATAATTCAAAAGCAATAGTATGAAAATATGCAGGGAGAAACATATACCAGTGCACATAAATTAAATACATGGTAAATTGGAGGGAAGATAAATCACTGTCTGAAATCCCTTAAAAGACTGTAAGTTGGTTTAAACTCCATCCATGCAATTGGGAGAAGTCAAACAAAAACAAAAAAGGCAAATCTCTGTTGCTTTAGGTAATTCCTAATACAAAATTCAAGAAAGCAAAATATACATTTAGTTCTAATCCATATATATAACATTATGGATATATATATATCCATTAAAGGTACGAGGATGGGAAGAAATCAGATCTTTTACCTCCATCAAGGAAATCTAAGGACATTTTAGGTTTCTATGTCATATAAAATGCCTTTTCACTAAATAATTTTTTAAAGTAGGCAAATAATTGTGACTTCAAAGACCTATGGCAGGGAGAAAAATGATCCAAGTCCACATACAGGTATAAAGGAAGCATTGATATATTTATTGGGTTCTTCCTCACAATCACTATCCTCATCAGAAGACTCGTTGGCATCGTGTGCACTCTCTCTGCTCCCTTCTTCTTCGTGTTTGAACAGCACTCTGTTGTAATCATCTGCACAGCAAGAAAGGCAGAACACACAAATCAAATAGCTTCATAGAAGTTAATAGCACAACTCAGTTATTCATTACAACACTGCAAAAGCTATGGCAGTTTATCAGTCCTGATAGTTCTGAGGACACTACACAAAGAATTATTATAATCATGCAAGCAGGATCTGCATCGGTGTCCCAATTGGTCAGCCATGCCTACTTGAGCCCATGATATTCCATTCCATTCCATTCCATTCCATTCCATTCCATTCCATTCCATTCCATTCCTCCACTCTTCTGATTCTCTTTCTCTCTTTTGCCTTCTACAACAGTCAATCAGCATTACTTGACCACTAAAGTGGCTCAGTCTTATTGGGTTATTTTGGAGAATTCCCACCTTCATTGGATGCAAAAGGAGCAGCTCACCTGGTGTCAAAAAAGGGCCACCATAGCTATTTAGTGTCTGTGCTATGCGCTTTGAGTTGGTTCCTGCTGGGTTTCCAAGTGAAGTTTAGAGTGCTAGTGTCACCGTATAAAATCCTAACTGGCTTTGCCCCATGAGACCTTTAGGACTGCTTTGTCCATTGCGTGCCCATCAACAAAATCTGATTATAGTGTTTTGTTACTGGGAGAGTAATCATGTTTTTTTGTTGCAGCCCCTATGTTATGGAACAGCTTTAGGGGGATGATAGGTGCATGTCATCTATAATATTGTAATCTATTGTTACAGTATTGTACTGTTGCACTGGTTTTAGTATTGTTTTAGTCCTTGCAGTCTAAGGTGGGATATAAATGACTTAGGCACACCCACACACATACAGGATTCCCTCCTCCTCCAAACTTTGGAGTTTCTCCAACCTGTTGATCTCTCTCTTTTTTCAAGGAGTAGCAACTTTTTTGCTATATAAATAGCATTCACAGTCTGAATATTGGAAATACGGGGGCTGATGTAATTACATGTTAATTTGTTCCACTTAACTTTCTGCTACTTTAATCTTCCCTTCTCCAATGCCATTCCTCCTTAGACAAGACGCTTCCTCTGCCTGGGTCTCCTTCCACAATATCTACACCAGGAGTTGGCAAAGCCAATCTTCGTGATTACAGCTACCATAAGTCTGAGCTATCCTGGCCATTGCTCAATACAGGAGCTGTGATTTGAACATGTGAAGATTCTCGTCTACTCTGAATCTATTAACTGTCATTTTCTTTCCCTTTTTCCCTCAGCCCTTTGCTTCTCTTTTGTCTTTGCTCCACTGGTGACAAGGAGTAACAAATTAATCACATCACCTCTCCTTTTCAATTTATGAGCAAACTCTTTGTAATTGACACCTTTTAATTTTTTTCCCTACCTTCTAAAATGCTAGCTGTATGGCTGATGATACTGTATGAATACATACTATATATGTATACACACACACACACATGCAAAACAGGGGTACAGAAATAAAAGGCTCAGTCAAGCCACTGTTTCCTTTTAAGCTTGCCAAACTAGATATAGTTGTATGTGACTGTATCTCTGTAACAGTCACAGATCTTTCCTTACCTAATCTAGATAAGGACTGCAATACAAGGGAAGGAAATTTAATTGTTTCTAAAATACTGTGGCCATGAAGATCAGGCACTCTTTCTCAACCAAAGCCATTTCACAGGGTTGTTACTCTGGGGAAAAATAGGAGGAGGAAATGCTTTGTACAACATTGTGAGTCTTGTATGAAAGATAGAATATAAAATTAATAAATAAAGGTGATTGGGGAAACTTGGATTTGTAAAATTGCAAAGCAACTAAATATGCATTCATTCATCATATATTTCTTGGCCCCAAGAAAATTAATTGTATTGCTTAGGTGAGTAAGGCAAAAACAAATATTTTGCAAAGGCCTTTGCTTTTGGAAATTACTTGGACAAATGTAAGACTTCGAGACAGGAGCAGAAGATGCAGAAAGAATGTTTACGATACAATTTGTTATAAAAGTTCTACGTGAATTGCTTGAAAATATAATATATATTTTTTTACATTTTCCATGAATCATTTAAAACAGTGAGACACAGAATATACTGTTTGCAGATTTCCCCCTCCAATACTCACATGGAATTACTGTGGAACTCCGGTTTTTCGTTTTGTTTTCCTCTCTCCTGCCAGCTTTCTGATTCTGCCAGTTCTTGTATAAAGGCAGCCGCTAAAAAAACAGATGTACCAAATAAAAGTTATTCTTAAGCAGAAAAGCTAAACTGTATCTCACCATTTTGCTATGTTTACATAATTTTAAATGGAAATCAACTCCCTGTCTTGCCAATTTTACTCTGTAGGGGAACTTAAAGTGAGAGGAAAGCACCTGGCAATAACGAGGAGTATTAACACTCCCATAACTGTTTAAAATTAAATTGTGTAGTTTCGCAACCGTTTGCTGTATTGCCAGAGAGAGAAACGCTATTTACCTGGAATTCAGCTTCCAGAAGAGATGGATCACTGGGAGAATCTCTTTTCTTTAGCTGATTGAGATGGCTGTGCAGTTCTGAAACACAGACCTCTGTTTCGCCAAACTGGACATATTCAACCAAAGCATGATGGATCAAGATGTACTGTGCCTAATAGGATTATCCAAGGATTGCAGATTTTGTAGATGATAGAAATGCAAAGTTGCAGTAAAAAAGAAATTGATAATTGAATAAATCCAGTGTTACATGAAGTAAAATATTCTACCTGAAATAATATTCTTTAAAAGCCCCATGGCATATTTGTTAAGTGGAGCTTATATGAACTCTCTTTTTAAAGAGTTCAGTGGGGACAAATCCCTTTGAATTCTGTGGTTGTTATTGCAAAACTATACAGAGCTGTGGGCATGTCAAGTAAAATACCACAATATAACAAAGGTGAGGATCATTCCATACATTACAGAGAGGCAATGTTAATTAATCAAGCTCTGAAAACATACCTCCACTTGAACCATAAGGCATCGCTGACGTCGTAATTTTGCAACATAGCCATATACATCAACTCGTCCTTCAGCCTCTAATCCCTCCAGCATTGCATCAATCCCAATATAGGTTCCAGTGCGTCCTACACCAGCACTGTCATGATCATAGTCATAAGTAAAGAAAGAAGAAAATTCAACAAGCATCATTCAAGTTGCTGCTGTTAATATTGACATATTATGGGAAACAGGCTGATTTTTGCTTTTAAATCTATTTAACTGAACTCACAGAGAGTTTGATGTTTGATAAACATATTCCTCCAGTTACATATAATGTAATATTCCTTTTATTGATTAAAAATTGTGTGCTCTTATCACCATGGTATTGAGTTCTATCAGTCTCATCCAACTGCATGGGTAGACGAAGATCAATTAAGTATCGATTGTAAGCAAAACTTATTTCACCTGCAATGGACTACTATTGGGCCACTAAAGAAGTTGCTTAAATTATTGACTCGGCGGCGCAGCTTAAGCAGCAGATGGGGATCATCAGGTACTCCATGATCTGGCCAGCTTGTAAACTGAATGTGGGTCACATCTCTTCCTGCTGCCTTGTCTCTTCTCTGGGGAAAAAAACAAAAAGGGAACATATCAACATGAGTTGCTACCATTCTAATGTCAGATAAACATTAAAAAGTCCATGTAGGAACCATTGATTAGTCTGTCATTGCCCAGAGGGGAACAAAATTATGGAATGCCATCAACACTTGTTCATCCTAACAACTTTTGTGAAGGCTCCTTCAGGATAATCCAGTGTTAATCACTCAAACAAAATCTACTTAGTAGAGGAATAGGTATGGGATAATGGTTAAAAAATTGAGATGCAAATCAAGAAACCACTGGTTCACATCTCATCTTAATTATGAATCCCCTAAATGATTCTAGCCATTTGGGTATTATAACTATCATCTGGATATTACATGAAATGTCTCATAGAAGAATGTCCACTACTGTCAGACTCAGATAGATCAGATGAGAAAATCAACTCCACAAGAAAACTAAAACATTTTATTGACATAGACTATAATAGCAGAATCTTGTGCTCCTCTTTCTTATACTTCAGAAAATCAGGAAGGCATTTGTAGAGTCACGTGTATAATGAGATGGGCGGCATATATCAATTTGAAAAATAAATAATTAAATAAATAAACATTGCCTGAGTTGCTTCCAAATATTATCTTGTTTCCCAGTACTTAAAGAATGTTTCAGCTAATGGCCTTGCATATTTCTGTCAAGGTCATCTCCCTTACTTTCTATAATTATTGAGCAAACTGTTACAAGTCTTGGTATTCTTACTTACATGGTTGATATGCAGCTTCCGAATGATGTAATCTGGACAAACTTTGCATTCATTTATCTTTACTATAATGTCCCCATAAGATGCAATCTCCTCCTCCATTGATGGCCAGTACTTGGCACATTTGATCTACAGAAATACAAAGAAGCTCAACCATTTTAGCAGAATGGAACAGACACTTTATTGCTGCTCATTAAACTGATCAACTGAATAGATTTTCAGTTTGTTCAAAGCATAGAGCAGAATTGTCTTTGTTATTGGGTATACCACCCTAAAGACAGCTTGTTACATTATGAGCTAGGGCAAAATATGTTTTGATGTGCACATGCTACATCTCAAACCTGGCTAAAGCCAGGTGAAAACACGAAAGTAGCTGTGGGCTTTTATTCCTTCCAGGTAGCATGAGTAAAAATGCAGGTCTCTCCAGGAAAAAAAAAAAAAAAATGGCAGCAGTTCAAAACTAGTTTAACATTACTATAGGTAAGAACTAGTTCACCCTTGTTTCTCCCACTCCAGTTGTACAAATGTTTTGTAACAAACTTTCCACTGAAACAGATTAAAATGCTTAAAATAAAATCAGTAAAACAAAAGGCAGACTGCAAAACCTCAAGGCCTCAGAGGCCTTTGTGTATCATTTCAGGTAGCTTATAGCAAAGACGTTTTCTGTAGAAGAATGACTAAATGAATCAGCTAAGCAAATTAGATCAACTTTCACTTTCAAGTAGCCATAGCAATATGGTGGCACACTAGGATAATGGATGGTTTAAAAGTGATTTTTCCAAGTAAGGAAAGTAATAAATAACACAATGGATCTGTTCCTCTCACCTTGTTGCCTTCCTCACAGCGAGTCACCATGACAACAATGGTTGCCTTTTGTTCCCAGATCATTCTCCAGAAATCATCTGTTGTCTCCTCCTTGGGACCTGGCAGAAATATTACCTTGATCACTTGAAACATTTTGAGGTGATGATTAGGGAAGGGCTAATTTGTCAGTTGTAATATCAGAGTTTTCCTTTTTCCAGCCTTAAATTGATTGCATCTCATTCCTTCACCGGTTTGTAATTGTTTTTACCTCAGCATTTGCAAAAGCAAGAGTCTTTTTCTGTGCTTAGCAGAATAGTACCTTCCCCAGAGGAAACTAGCATGGTGAATACATACATAAGTATATATGAAAACCTGCACAAGTATTCATATTTTCCTATATTGTATGCATTTTGTAAGAAAGGGTCCTTAATTCATGCATTTTTGTACATTTTAATAATAATCATGCTGCCTGATTCTCAATTATATTTTTCCCTAATATATACTTGCTTTGGAAGGGATTTTCCTTAACATACGTGCACATTTATTTAATTTTATTTACAGGACTCATAGGCCACTCCAATCAGTTGGTATTTGTAATACACTGTATGTGTAGTGCATTAGCACTAGGAGATTGGAAAATAAATGATCCTAAAAAATAAACAATATATTCTATATTCTGTTGCTCTTGTTATAAAGTAAAATCCAGAAAAGTGCAGATAATCAGCCCACAGTTGTGTTGCATTTCACATATAGATCTGGCAACTCTTCTCCCATGGCACAGAATTCTCCTGGATAGCCCCCCCCCTGCCCCCACCCTGCAATTCCAGCTTCTGCAGAATACTTTATAGAATTGGGAGAAAGGCTTCAAGTGAGAAATAGTCCACCATCTCTCATCAGGTAGAAATTCTGGCTGAAACTCTTGTTCAAATGGGAGAATATCCAAAGAGCTATATTAAGCCCTAAAATTCCCTCTGACATTATAGAATAGGATTTCAGTTATTATGAGATTCTCATGATATTACATGCAATAAACCACCACTTTTCAGAATATGCTGTTGAAGTTGATGAAATGGGGAAAATCAATAACGACTTTAAGAAAAGTTCAAAAGAACAAGGAGCTAAGAATGAAGCACATGAGAATTGATTGCAAGCTTTGGTTGTTGGCCTGCCATGAAGCTCTGGATCAGACCCAAGATGAAGCAAACAAGGGGGAAAAATCAGCTGCTTACTTTTTATCTGAAACACAAATGATATTTGGCAAATCTGCAACAAAAGTCTTTCAGGATCTGCTTTAAATAGATTGTACTGAAATGACTGAAACAGCTTTTCATGTGCCTTCTAGATACAGGTCCCCAAAATCTCCTGATCCTGCTACTAAATTTCCTTGTAGATTTGATAATGGTGAAATACTCTGCATGGACTGCTGCAAACAAGTGATTAAGCATTTCCTGAAGGATATTTGTGTACTAGACTCTGGAATTTGGCTTAATAAAGTTTGTTGACTCTCAGCCTTTGAACTAATTTTGTATCAATTGAGAGGCAAGATTGAAGAATACAATTTCATTTGGTCTAATTTCAATTCAATGTTTTCAATTCAATTCAATTCAATTCAACCTTTGAATTAATGTAAAATTAAAATGAAATTGCTGTCATTAACCATCATATAATATCAAATTAAGAGCTTTAAATTGTACTATAATTTTGAAATTCAAAAGGTTTGGTATTTTCATTATTTTTCCCCTTTCCTTTTTCCTTTATTTGTTATTTGTTATTCTTTTCTATTTGTTTTATATTATTGTCAATCAATTCCATTTATTTTGATCAAATATATTTATTTTGATTAAAGATCAGAAATGAAAAAGATAAAATGACATTTATTATCAACAATTACTTAGAGACCCATATCTCAATAAAACCCAAGGTAAACCTGATATTTGTTACAAATATTGACAGCTTCTATGTATAACTTTGTAACATTACATGTAACAAAAGAATTTGTTTTACTTTTAAAAAATGTTTCCGTTTTTTAAATTCTGTTTAGGTTTTCTCTTTTTAAACATATAGTTTATTATATTATTGTTACATAGTCTACATATATACATAGAGAGTCATTTGGAGCTGGGTAGTGCCTAAATTGAATAAATTAAATTAAAGTAAATTAAATTAAAATTAAATATTTGTTATTAATTGCTATTAAATTGAATATCTTTTAAGATTTTTTAAAAAATTAAACAGAAAGTGAATTTCAGGTTTCTTTCTTGTTTTTTATGTTTTTAACTGTTTTTATTGTTTTCTGGATTTTGTAAGCTGCCATGGGTCTGTTGGAGCGAGCGGCCATAATGAAATAAATAAATAAATCAGTCCTTAGTGATGGTTATCATGAACCAGCGAAAGGTAAATCTATGGAACTCAAAAGTTTATCATTTCACCTGGAAGCGGTTTTCATTTTATAAGTTGCAATTTGCCCAGGACAGAAAAGGAACAAAGTGAAGAAGATATAATTGCATGTTCTTATGCACATAAGGAATGCATTGCTGTCTAGGATAGAAGGAGTAATGGATGGCCCAGGAGTGATGTAGAATGGGAAGGAAAACTTCACAGCTACTGGGACATACCAAATTGTTTGGTGGTGTGAAGGGGGCCACCAATAGCCACCACAGAACATAGAGGTAGCTATGACTCTATTAATTTGTTTCTACATGCAAGTCAAAGTCAGAAAGATAATACAAACCTTGTGCAGCAATATATTTTCTCATTTCTTTGAAACCCTATGATAGAAAATCATATATTATTATCGTGCAATAAGGGCTCAGAAAAATTAACATTTGTACAGTCTAAGAGTTAGAAAACTATGAATAATGTTTGATTATGAGTTTGCATGTTGTAAATGAAAGCCACTCACATCGATATGGCTCGCATTTATGTAGTCATGTCCTGCCTCCCCAAGGCTTGAGGAAAGCTCCACACGATTATAATCATCTTTTCATATGAAAACAAAAATCAAGACAAAGAATGTTAATCAATATTGTCAGTTTGGTATAATTTTTGCAAGTGGGTGGGGGGTTAATAAGTTGAAAACCTCAGTTTGCATGATATACTTACAGGGGAGGATGTCAATGTAGCGGTTTTTGTTCTGGTTATAAGGCTTGCGTGCTTCTTTTATAGAGTATTTACTGAAGACTCTGGGAATGCTCTGCAAAAGACAATATTCATCTGAGCAAAAAGTTTTAGGTAAAAATCGTTATAAATACAGATAGAGATTATGAGCTGTTGAACTCTTGTTTGATTCTTTGTTTTTGGTTGCTATTCTGAATCCAGTTTTCTATTTCCATTTGTTTAGGAGTAAGACCCAAAGTATTCAGTAGCATGTATTTCTAATAAACATATATAGAAATACAAGAACTGAGGCCTAGACCCTATTAAATAAATAAGGTAATCTGAATGGAGACAGACAGACACTTATCTTCAGTTTCCATATACATACCTCAGGTTACTATGAGACTATTATAGCCCTATTCAGACATACCAAATCTCCCCCACATTGAATGGGGTAAATGAACTAAAATGTATGATAATGTCTAATGACCAAAAAGATTGCAAAGCTTTGTAAGTGTGCATCTTAAAATTTCCCAGCATTCTATCTTGATTCCTCTCCTTCAAGTCATTATTTCAAAGAAATGAGCTCTGAGACCCTTAGGGTGGGAACCATCTCCTAAAGAAACCCAACCACTAACACACATAGATCCTCCTTAGGTTTTCCAGTGGGACACTAACCTGAAATTCATCCAGGAACAGCCTTCCTTCATCTGCTATTTTTCTCCTATATGCTTCCCACAATAACTCCGCAGGAATTGGGTCTATGTTCTTCATCTGTCTTTCATCATCTTTAAAAGAGGTAGAAACACTTCCATATATACATATATGCATTGCTTCTGATATGTATAATGAAAAATTAATTCAATACAGGCTTGAGCACATGTCTCACAATTACTGAATGGGTTTGCTGCCTGAACACAATGAGTTAAGCTTTAAAACCTACCACCAAATTGTTCATTTGAATGAATAATACAACAGCATTTAAGTCACTTATGACACGTGCATTTAACCCTTCATGGTGACAGTAGAGCAAGTGAATAAAACAGCCCCTAAAATTAATATGATCATGCAACTGCAATTTATGACAACAGTTTTCCCATCTTCCCTTCTGGAACCTCTTTCAGCACAAACTCATCAGTAGAGGGACTGTTGTAGCTGCCATACAAATCTTGTGCAAATTAAGGGCACCTAGTCACTGTCTGCATCTATCAGGCACAATCATTGCTCTGCAACAAATAAAAACACCAACAGGATGAATCCAACAAGTTCCAGCAGGTTCACACTGCAAGAATATGATGCTGGCTGGGAAATTCTGGGAGTTGAAGTCCACATGTCTTAAAGTTGCCAAGTTTGCAAAATACTGCTTTAAAGGATGCTCAAGTAATCCAATTGGGAAAGAAGAAGCTCTTCTGTCTGTTGCTTTTCAGGCACAGTGACACCCTTATATTCATGCTTATGTGAGTGGGGTATTGAAATCAAAGGTAAGCCCTAATGGCTGAAAAGCATTTTGGGGAGCAAGTTGTGAGTAAAAGGTGGCAAAGTCAGTAACAGTTCAGGACTTCCTTTCTCCATGCCATACTGCTTCACCTTCAGCTTTTGCAGAACTGCATGCAGTTACCTCCCCAAGTACCAAAAAAACATGTAAGTTACAAAATGAGGCCTGTCCAAGAGGTCTGACCAAGCCTAGGCAAGATCAAGGATAGAACAGAAATATCAGAGGAAGCAGTGAGAGAACATCTTGCAGCCAAACCACAAGCTGGAGGACAGTTGTAATTGTTTGACAGCTTTTGCGTATGGTCTTTGTTCAACCTCTGGTATCTCCAAGTGGGGCTGGGGACAACTCTTGGCTGGAAACCTGAAGAATGACTAGCAGTTAATGGAGCACTAGAAGGTACATTGATTTGTCTTGGGATGAAAAGCATCCTAGATTCTTATGCAGAAATGCAGATTGCTGAACATGGTTTTCTAATAAAAAGAAAAAAAGTCAAAGACATGGGGGCATTGGGACCATAGCAAAGGAGAAAGGGTTGAACTCCTCCCCATATTCTGTGGTGGCTGCCCCTTGTCACTGTTATTTTCATGACAATAATGGGTGTGTGTTAATTCCATTGATATAAGCCATGTCTCCACTAATGTAAAAAGAAAAAGATGAAAACAGTGGGCTTAGAGGTTCCCTTTACTACACTTAGTTCAGAAGTAGGCCAGGAAAACTCATCAGGCTAGAGAATTCCATGAGGGAATGGGTTTTATGAACCCCTGGAGAAAACTTTCACAGTACCATTTCAAGGATGCCTGTACTTGCTAAATTAAATATTTACCTCTGGGAACAAGCCTTAGTCCTTCTTCTTCATCTCTGCAAAAACATCAAGAGATATGATTGAATGATATGAACAAAATATTATTATTGTTCAAGATCTTTTCAGTGGAAGTTGACCAGTATATTGGCTTGGTCAAAGCGTAGCCACATTAAGCGTCTTTTCTAGTTCTGCTACTCCACTTTGAAAAAGAGCAAGTCCCCAAACCTCTCCCATTAACCCAATTTTCCCATCACCCTGTCTTCTCCATGCTGATTTCACAGAAACATTGACACAGGAAATAGAGTCTACCCACAAAATGGAATAGAAGCCAAGATGCTGACAGACCAGCTGAAAAAAGATCAGAGCTGGGGGACTGTTCAGGGGAGAAAGGAAAAAGGAGGAATGTGAGTTCATGCCATTTATGGGAGGAATGGAGTAAAAGGACCAAGAAGAAAAGCCAAATGAGAGATAAGGAGTGAGATGTTTCCCTCACTTTTTTAAAGGAGAGATATTGCACAATGAGGAAGAAGATCCTTTTGCCCTAGATGGAGGACTCTGTTCTGAACTTTCTCTGTAATCACCCTTCTCCACCCCACCCAGATTTTGAGCAATTTATTAAACATTGAATTACTTGACAATGGATGGTGAGAAAAGTTACAGTTGGAGTTCATCAGGGGAACTTCCAGAGGGTCTACCCTCCTCTCAATCTTCCACTCTCTTTCCCCTCACCCTTTCCCCTTTTCTCCCTCTCGCTTAATTTAGGAAAATTGATTTGGTAACTGAGGCTGAAATGTATAGTAATTTGCAACAATTTTAAATGTTAAACCTTATAACTGATTATTAAGCTATAAATAGTAAATATGCAACTAATAGCAAATATGCAACTTAAAAAAATCGTATCTGATCTAATTCTTAAAATTTACAGCCAACACTGGCAGGGCATGCCACGTATATAAACAGAGAGCAAACCCCACTCCCTTCTAGCACTGAAGATGTTACCTAGCCAGGTAACGAAACATGCAAGAAAACAACCAAGCTCAGAGAACCCCACGGACTCCACACTTCAACCCTGAGCTACACATATTCTCTTCTATTGAAGGTCTGCATATTGCACATACATAATTGATACACAGAAACCTGGATATTTATTGGGGAAAAAGTGGAAAAAACAAACCAAACCAAGGATAGGACAGGAAAATGAAAGGTCATTTCCTGAAAGAAGACTTGTTGGCTGGAACTGAGCCATCCAGTCAGCACCTTTCTAAATGTTCAATCTAAGTACTGGTTCAATATGGTCATTGACCAATGTTTTTTTATAAATCTAAAATTATCAAGTACCAAGGAAAATAAAACCAAACCAAAAGGCAAATAAATAAGTGAAGTGCACAAAAAGTACTTAAGATACTAAAAAGAAAGGAAAATAATATTAAAGAGAAATAAGTTGTTAAATAAAATATAATTACTTGAGTATTAAGAGCTAAATTAAGAACACCAAAATATTAGTATGTTTAAAAAAAAAACCTTTATAAAGAATAATCCCCCAGAAAATCAGAGTGACAGTGAGCTTCCATAAAATCAAAAGAAATCAATCAATTTGGGGGGGGGGCGGGGAATTTAAGTGTGACTAGTTACAATTTGGAAGGAATTGGTCTCTACCTTGAATGCAACTATCAGTAATTGTAATAATAATGAAAAATTCTTTCTATGATTTTGTGCAACATTTTCTATGATTTTCTAGAATGCAATTACAGTAATAGTAATGGGGCAGACAGAGTGACAAGGTGCAGTCTTCCCATCTTTGTCATACACACTTAGGAGAAGAAAAAAAAGCATTTTACAAATTTACCTTGAGTTCTTTCTGTTAAGGATGTATATTTTATACAGAACAAAAAGTAAAGCCAAAAATGTTACAATAATCAAGAATGCCAAGAATCCAATCACGGCTTTAGCATCATCTGTGAAATGAAATGAAATGAAATGAAATGAAATGAAATGAAACAAAATGAAATGAAACGAAACGAAACAAAATGAAATGAAATGAAACTAAGGTTTTAGGAAATGTCAAAAATGTTTTATCAACTTGTGTTTTCAGTATACAAATTAAACTGATCAGCAAATTAAAAGAAATTTGTTAAACCTTAACGTACAGTTGGTGGTTATTTCTCTCCATTTTGGGTCTGAAGAATAATGTCCATTGAAAACAATAACCTAATAAGTAGAAGGAATAACAAATGTAGAGATTTGAAATGTGCCAAAGATGAACTATTAAATAAATCTTCCAAAATCTTTTATGAAAACCCTCCCTTATGAGACCTTCATTAAGGAACATAAATGTCTTATGGGATGATATAAGGAACAGCTCAAGAATAGAATATAGAAGAAGGAAAATAAATATTTCACCCAGCCCTCATTTATGGGGAAGGAGATGAAAACTTTAAAACTACAGAACTTTTGGAACAGAGGAGCTGCCAAACTGTTCAGTGGCAGGGATGATGGAAGTTGTTGACTTAATTTGGAGGAAATGGCCTGAGGATGCTTGGCTATTAATTAATTTATTTATTCAATTAGCAATTGGACTGCACTCCAATTCTTAGTTCTGTTTAAAACTGTTGCAGGGTCCCCCTGACCAGATAGGATGTAGTTACTACATCGGACTAAAGGGATAAAAGATGCAACTGGTCCCTGAAACCACTTGAGCTTCTTGTGAAAATGATAGATCTGAATATTGCTAAGTGTAACCCTAATCCTTTAGAGTGAGGGCAACCCACTCCATAGCAGGGTATCCTGAATTTAATCATTAGATTAACCAAGCAGAAACAGTATTTTCATCTTGTCTGCATGTCAGCCCTCATCCAATCCATTAGCCTGCTGAAGGACTGATTCAGAACATCAGCTTAACTGAATTCATTATTTTCTCAAAATCTTGAGCTTAATGATTAATAAGTAGATAGATATATTTAAGGAAAAAAGTTAAATATCTCAGTCTCAAGATTAGAACAATGCAACTTACTGTAAAATTATATGTTTTCAAAAAATGCAGGTTTTTCACATTGAATAGACAGCTGCTTCCATTCATTCCACCACCATCCCACTTCAGCATATATATTTTGCTAGGTCCATTTAATTCCTTTGGTTCCACACAAGTAACTTTTACAGCATTGTTTGCTTCATCAGATAAGTTTACTTGAAGATTATTCACAGCATCTGGTTCTGTTGAAAATTAAAATGGTTTCCATCAAAAGAAAAGAAGCAGTGTTAAGGGTATAGGAATCAGAATACTTCAACAGTTTCAGGTAGTCCTCATTTAGCGACTGCAATTGGTTCTGATGACTTGGTCATTATGCAAAATGACTGTTAAGTGAACATGTGACTGAGAGAGAGGCGCTGCAAAGATCACTGGTTGCTGCCAATAAAGTTCTCTCATACAGTGTCCTGTGCCTGGCCTTTTTTCCTCCCTTTATTTGCCCCCTTGCAGGAAGGAGAGATTGCTTAAACAAGCTATCTCTTCCTGAGCTGCTTTTCTCTGCAGCTTCAGCAGTTCCCTAAAAAGTGACAACTGCAATTAACAAGCTCAGCTCTGTGACCTTAATTAGTTGATTAGAACCCTGGGCTGGCTGGCAGCTGCCGCCTGAAACTGACTGGACCTTAATCAGTTTCACACTGAAGGCTTTTGTTGTCCTAAAGGTGTGGGTTGGTTGGGAAATGAATTTTTTATCACCTATATTACCATTGTATTTGCAAATGGTCAATATCCAAGGCAGTTGCTAAACCAGGACTACCTGTACATAAAATATACTGCCCTGGTACTACCTGTATGAATTACGGATGCTAGATTATTTTCATTAGGATTTAATTTCAAGAAAACGGGCCACTGCTCTCAATAATTTCTCCTCCTTTTCTCTTCTGTAAAAATGCATACTTTTTTATTGCTAGCCATGATATTTATATGCTTGGATATTGGAACTCTGTGGCACAGAATTCCTTCCTTCCTTTTAAAATCTATTTCCACAAGCTATGAGGAAATGATCACAAAGATAATTCATAAGAGGGATTACAATCCACCAAAACTGCATTATATTAATTGTAACCTTCCTAGACTATCTTGGCAGGATCATTTTTAAGAAATTGGAAAAATCACCAAAATAATTTTTCAAAATAAAATCCTGGCTTTGGTTGATTGTCAATTTCCTTCTCATTTTGCTTTCCTGGGTTAACACCAGGGGTGCCCATGGGATGTGGTCCAAAAAGTCAAGATGGCAGCTAGGATGGTACAACTGAAATTCCACCTGTTTTTTTATGTGTGTGTCATGTATCATGCGTGCAACACACATAACCACCAGGTAGAGCTTTGATCACACCATTATGGGCACCATCTTGACTTTTACCATACCCCACAGGCATTCCTGGTCAAAATTATGAGTAACAGAGAACCAAAGCTAGCCATCTTTTTAATTTCTCTACCATCTGGGAGACTGTAGGAAATTAACAGTGTGAAAAAAGGCCTGGTCAGTTCTTTGGCACTGCTTGCAATACTGCCTGTACCACCTAAGAAAAGGGAGATTATCCCAAACATGAGGACTTCTTGCAAACTTCAGCAAAACTGTGGCAGGTATTTAATAGTAACAATACTAACTTGGGGAAAATGGTCTTGGTCTTGTTTCTGTTGCCCTGAAATGTTTGGAGTTTTGCCTGAGAAGGAATGAAAAATTCACCTCAGAATTTCACTTTAGGCAATGTTTGGAGGCAACAGTACGCTTTGGTAGAAAGATGATCAGGATATCGTTGGTAGAAAGACGATCAGGATATCTTTAAGTGTCTTGACTGGTTTTAAACTTTGTTTGCTATCTTGAGTGGAAAGGTGAGGTGTAAAAGAAACAGATGAATGTGTGACACTAGGTTATAATAAAATTATAAAATGTAGCTAATATTATATTTTGCAACTGTATATCTACACTGTGATTAGCAATAAAGCTGAAATTTATGTTATTATTATGGTTGGTCGCACAGGCTGCCAGATGTTTAGACTGGATTTGGCATTTTTGTCCACCTATAGAGTTCTTCCCAACATCTGGGATAGGCAGATGCTGTTGTTTAACAATATTAAAAGTATCACCGCAGGATGTAAGCTGTTCTGAGTAAAGCTGCCCTTTGCAATTGACTGATGGTGATTTTGTCAATGCCAATGGTGTTCAAGTGGTACTCCAGATGTTTTGGAATTGCATTCAAGACTCCCATTACTATTGGTACTCTTTTTGCTTTCTTTTGCCACAGTTGTTCTACTTCTATTTGCAGGTCTTTGTATCTTGTGATTTTCTC